ATAAGCAAAGTGGTTAATGACAGGAATTCATACAGTATTTTAATATTTTCTATTTATTTAAAGTTCGCAGGCCACTTCTATCAGACTGCAAAATTGTATTAGAGATTTTGCTACCTCTTTGTTATTTTGTAAAACTAAAATAAATTCTGTATCTTAAACGGTTTTTGAGAAAACTGCTGATTAAATCTTAAGCTACCAGTACCGCAATTCCTCAGCATCTAATTCAACTGCGACAATGATAATGGCACTCTAGAATATGTTACTTTAAAAATACTTTCAAAGCCCATAGTCATATTTTCGATTTAAATGTTTGTTAAAGGCAAAAAAAAGGAAAAATATGAAATAAATGTAAGTTAAAAAATTACAAGAAATTGTACAGGATATTTTGTTTATTTGTTTACAATATCAATGTAGAAGATATTTTGTTGCATCAAAATAAATTTTGTTCGTTCAACTATTTTTTAAGAAATATACACGTTGCGTTAGCCTACACAAGATTGTTCGGTACATTTCCATGTATGCAACAAAAAGTTTACAAAAATGATTTACTTCAAAATTATTTAAATGGTGAACATTTCAGCAGACTTCATACATGGTACCTACTGTAAATTATCCAGAATAACAGGCAGTTTTAGTGCAAACAATATTTTACATTTCAGACCAAGTTGTGAACTGATTTCCATTTCAGACATTACACAAAAGTGTTTATAATAACAAAAACGTAGAGAATTTCATAGGGTCATTTCAAAATGTGATTTATTTTTCTGCATATTAATATGTCAAATCAAAGTTTATTTGATAGCGATGTTTTAAAAAATTTCTTTAGTACAAATTTAGTACGTACAGCTGGTATAAATTATTTTGATATACATAATGTGTGGTGTGTCTAAGTTTTTAATAATTAAAAAGTTTATAATAACAAAACCATGGTAACAATCTCGGTGCTACTTAGAACAAGTTTTAAAAAATATCTAAGATATGTAGTCATTGTAACTCCAGTATAAACTGTGTTTGGGTAATGAAAAATTAGAATATTGGACACATTATATCCAACAAAACAATTTGTGGCTAAATCCATCTTAAATATTTAAAACATGTGGTAAGTGGTATATTGAGTTTGTTAGAATGGTTTTGTTATTATAAAATATTTCTAATTATTAAAAACTTAGAAAAATGACACATTATATCAACAAAATAATTTGTTACTGCACCTATATGCACTGAATTTGTATTGAAGAAACTTTTTACAACACATTCCTATCAAATTTATTATGAATATGTTCCAACCCTATGAATTCACTACGTATTTGTTATTATATACACTATCGTTGTAATGTGTGAAATGATAATTAAAACAACCTGTCCCAAAATTCATTTATGAAATCTGTCATCATTTATAAAAGTGAAACATTTTTTGTAAACTTTCTGTTGCAGTACATGGAAATGTGTCGAGCAATCTCGTGTGGTCTGCTAGCATAAAAGTAACCTGTATATTTTTCAAAAAATAGTTGAACAAACAAAAATTTATTTTGGTGTAACCAAATAATCAATATTTTACATTGATAAAATATCAACAAAGAAACAAAATATCCTGAATCATTTTTTGTAATTTTTTAATCTAAATTTATTTAATGTTTTCTTTTTTTGCCATGAGAAATCATCCACATCGAAAATATGACTATGGTAAAAGAAAAATAAGTTTATAACGGGAAATTATTTTCCATCCTTAATAAGGGGTTCCTTAGTAACCTAGCTTATTTTATAATGATGATGGCACACGCATATAGACCTTATCACACCTAGCAATAAGGAAATGACTTAAAAATTTTATTTAGACAATAAAACAATCATTCTCTGCAGAAAGTCAAGATTTAAAATAAAAGTTTATCAAAGCCTACCTTAAGTAACTTTTTGGGAAGAACGAATTTCACACGGTGTTTAGTTAAAATATCGGAGTTTACACCAAAAATATTAGTATTCAATGCACTACGCAGCCCTAAATTATATACCAACGTTGGTAGCAGCTCGTTGTGTGGAGGACACACATTGGAGTTGGCACATATTGGCCCAGTTTTACCAATTGCACATTGCTTTATTGTTGTATCTGCCAATAACAACCATAACTTCAAAGAATAGAAATATGAATTTTTTCTTTGACATACAATGAAAGACAATTCTGTACGTATTGACATAAGTAAAACTAACTATAAAGTAAAATTTCTTTAAATAAATGACTGCAAATCCCCCGAATCAAGCTACGCTTTGTAACTTTGTTAGTAATCAGCAAATCGGCTGTAGTTTAGTACAACTACAAAGTTGAAATCTAAACAGTAGCTAGCTTATAAAACCAGTGCATAAAGTTTAAGATTACAGTGAATAATGTTCTATATAGTTACAACTTTTTCCTAGTTATCTCAAAACCACATATTATGGATTTATCGGCTTTTGCATAGCTGCTCCTCATTTAATCTCAAGCTATACTTATTATTATTGATTTTGAATAGTAAATATAAGTTCTACGAATTTAAATATAGTTAATATTTATAACATACACGGGATGTTTCAAAGCATGTTGGAAAATGAAAAATATGATTCTTTGGCTTATTTTAAAAAAAAAAACATATCATGGGGCCGCAAACACACTGTTTTCGAGATATATGATGTCAAAAGGTAATTATTTACTTTAGTGGCACCACCTCCAATTTTCACAAAATTTTGTCTACCTCCCTATTTTCGATGGTGCTGAACACGAATCTGAAGTTTTTTTTGTGCGGTCGAACCCAGTTTTTGAGAAAAAAATTTTTCAAAATTCTAACCTGAATATTTCAGATAACACTACGTAGAACTCTGTATATTATATGTAGCTTTCAGAACATCTGTAATAAACAATGAACATTGTTTAAGAAACACATTTTCCCAAATTTGAACTAAAAAAAATATGTATTTAATAAATAAAATTATAGTAACTTTATGTGGGATGAACAGAGTTGAATGAGAGTGGGGGAACTCAATGTTGTCATCACGAATTACAAATGGCGGATTCAAACTACAAAATTTTTATTTATTAAATAAATATCTTTTTACTTGAAATTTACGAAAATGTGGTTCGTGAACAGTGTTAATTGTTCATAACAGATGTTCTGGAAAGCTACATAAAATATACAGAGTTCTATGTAGTGTTATCTGAAATATCCAGGTTAAAATTTTGAAAAATTTTTCTCGAAAACTAGGTTCGATCGCACAAAAAAAACTGCAGATTCGTGTTCAGAACCATCGAAAATAGGGGGGTAGACAAAATTTTGTGAAAATTGGAGGTGGTGCCACTAAAGTAAATAATTACCATATATTTGAGCGCCAATTCAGTTTTTATTCAAGACAGTGGTAGAAATTTTAGGACTTCGTGAGGTTCTTTTGTCTATTGGGGAGTCATATTAATACGAACTTTTCTTCTTAGAATAAAATGAATCACCCCCTTCATTTTCCGACATGTTTTGAAACATCCTGTATATTTCAAACATTACTGAGTATGAATCCTAACAAGGCTAGTAAGGGCCTTACGTATTTCAGATTAAGCTGGAGCCCTATGAAATTCGCTACACTTTTGTTGCCACAAACGTTGTAATAATGTGTGAAATGAATATCAAGTCGCAACTTAGCCCGAAGTAAAAGAAAATTTTTTTACACTACTACTTTTGTTTGCATATTATTCTCAATAATTTACAATGCCATTCATTTATGAAATATGTCGAAATGTTCACCATTTATAAAAGGAAAACATTTTCGTAAACTTTCTGTTGAATACTTGGAGGTACTGAGCAATCCCCCGTGGTCTGCTAGCATGAACGCAACCTGTATATTTCTCAAAAAATAGTTGAAAGGGAACAATTTATTTTTATGTAATAAAATATTATTAACAAAAAAAAAAACAAAATGTCCTAAATAATTTTTTGTAATTTTTTTCTCTCAATTACTTTTCATGTTTTCCCCTTTTTTTGCCATGAGAAATCATCCAAATCAAAAATATGACTATGGACTCTCAAAATACACTTAAAGTAAAATATTCTGGTGCCACTACCATTGTCGCATGTAAATTAGATGTTGAGAAATTGCCTGGATTGCCTAACTTAAGATTTAAGTCAGCAGTTCGTTTTCTCGAAAAACGGCTGAATGTATCAAATTCATTTTACTTACTGTAACAAAGTACCAACAACAAAAGTAACAAAACCTCTTAACACTTTTTTGCAATCTACGAAAAGTGGCCTGATAACTTTATGTACGTATATTTTAGCAACAAATCAATTAATTCTAAAATCAAATAAATTTATTTCTGAATGCCATGTAAGGTACTATACCTTATATGGCATGGTATAGTATATGTATGTACTCATGTACATATATTACTGCAAGATTAAAATTATCTGTATAAAAAACGACTCATTATTTATGGCCTGATGGCCGCTCTTAAGTACATGTATATTTCCAATAATTGTAGTAGATATTAGAACAAAATAAAATTAAATAATAGAAATAACATTTTACCTCCACGTACATTTAATCACCACCACAAATTAGTAACACATTACATTTTAGTTTCACACAACAAAAAGCTGCCATTTCCTAATAAAATAGTACAGGAGTTAGTATTAGGGTATTAGTAGGGTATTAGGTAACTATAGGAACCCAAAAATTCTGTCTCACGCCATAAATACAGCATTTACATTTCTCTTATAATCCTTTCGCGATTTTTGCCATGCATGACGACTATGAATTTACGCAATAAATTTCAGCAATAAGTTGAATTTCCCGTTTGAAATGGAAAATATTGCTCTACATGGACGCATGTATCAGCAAATGAAATTCTCGATGCATTGGGTGAATATTTTTTATCAGTTTACCAAATTGCAAATGGTTCAGACTGGCTTTATATCGTCAAAAATATATAGGTAATTAAAAAAAATTATAACAAAATTAAATATTTTTAATTAACATTTATTGTCAAGTCAAACATATAAAAGTATAAAACGACTAACAGGGAGAGAGCAAAACACATTTTTTACAAAAAGAGCTTAGAGTTGAAATTTTTTCTCATAGTACTCTGTGACATTTTTTTGGTGCAGTTCTGACTTCAAATGTCTGTTAACCTCACGTCTCGTTCCCAAAGGATTCTGACACAACTTGCATTCCAATCCTTCAGTAGACTCATCACTGAAATAAAATCGAGACTTTATATCTGTTGGAAAAATAAATCAACCACGGACCCTCGAGCGGCTCGGTCCAGATCATCGAGATTCTTTGCTATGTTACCGCTCAAATCCTGGGATTTATTCAACCGGACAAACTGCAACAAAGGCCAAATATCTTCGGGATCACCACACAAATCGGGCTCGAGGATTTCTACCGCGATTTGATTCTCGCTCCAGACATCTCTCGAGGTCACCAGTCTCTGCATATTGACCAACCTAAAAATGACGTTAAAAGTAAACCTTAACCGAATTCAAACCATTAAGGCAGAAAAATGTCAGCTACTCACTCTTTTAACTCTGTTTTAATGCAATTTTGGATGCGTATAATTTCATGGTCCGTGGCCAGTTCCTCCGAAATATCTCTCATGAAGGTCATGGCTTCGTTCATGTGAAAACGTATCTTGTTAATCTGAAAATATATTTTGGTGAAACAAATTTCCATGAAAAATTTTCCATACAAAAATCTATATCAGTTTCATTTTTCAGTCACCACCATTTCCCAAATTTTTTGTCTGTATGTCCCACTTAATATTTAATGAAGTATGATTATTTTGAAAATTACAGTGGTCCTCAAACGGAAAACTTTATTTGGTTAAAAAAAATTCTAATAATTTTGCTTGTCTGAAAATCAAACAAAGGCAATCTAGATACACTGTAAGAATCTGCTGAATCATTCCCGATGTGAAATTTTTCAGCTTATTTAATACCAATACTTTATAATTAGGATGGATCTCAAAGATGGGTAATTTAAATAAGAGATGATTCATATGTAAAAAATTCAAATTTTTCCGATCACACATTTTACAATATGCCAAAAATTTTAGATAAATGGAAGCTTTAATTTTATACTCTTTAACCATGTACCAACACCCACTTCTCTAATAATCACACAGTACGCCAACAACGGATGTCAAATATCTCGGAATACATTTGGATAGAAAACAAAGCTAAACCAACAAATAAAATTTATTAAAAAAATTAACCTTTTCAAGAACGAAACACTTAAAAAAAGTGACCAAAAATAAAGGAACGTTAAGAATTATGTTGGCCACAATTTATAAAACAATTTATACTGCCTTCAATTAGTAATAAAAAAATTTGCAAGTTGCCGAAACTTTTTCATTGAAAGCTCTAATGGAAATTTGTCATGCCGCACATCCGCTTCATAACCCACCTAACCAGATGCTCTATGAGAAGACGAAAATCCAACCCATTCAGGACAGACAACAAAATCTGTTAAAACGTTTGTAGAATGTCCTTCCAACTAAGAAATTGTGAAAACATTTTTTTTTCTCGAAACTTGGGCTACTGGGCAATAAATCTCAGCCGTTGACAAGTGGTCGATAAATTGCCCAGCAGTGCAGTGCATCAATGCGGAATTTGGCAATCTTAATTTATTATAGGCACCTTCTATTAATCATTGATATTACAATTGCGAAAGGGAGAAATAATATTATTACATAGCATTTTGGAGACCTTTTGAAACGGAACAAAATGAAATTTACCATCAATATAATAAAATTGTCCGAGTTGTTGGCCAAATGAACATATAATAGAAATTTTCTGCACATTATATACAAATTATTAAATTTTTTACCCACATCAGAAAACTTTTTTAGGGACGCCTATGAAACTCATTAAATTTTATTGTTAGGAGTTTTTTACATGTTCAACTGACTTCGGAAAGACTACAACAGAATATGTCGAAAACATTCGACAATGAATGGTACAAAGTACCCAGAAACCTGTTTCGTAATTATTTACTCAAAATTAAAAGTTATTATTATTTAAGATTACTTTTTACTTACCTTTTTAATTTCCACCTCAGCTAACACAGTATCCAAAGCCAACGTCAAATCACTGACGGGATAAGAAGATTGAGCAGTCGCTTCGCAGCAGCCAAAGCCGCATAAGATTGCAACAACTTTGGTCCCATCTTGATTCAATTTTAATGTCATTTGAGGGCAGAACATGAGGGTGACGATCATGGGAAGGCCAGGGATATTAGGAAGAAGTGTGGTCTGATTGAGCTTCAAACCATTACACTCCACCCCGGTAACAATAGCGGCTGCCAGCATCCTAAAAAATTCATACACCTTTGATCATTTCGTCAATTTCTAGAAGAAACATTACCTCGTTTGACAAGATTCCGGTTCATTATTGAGCAAAATTGTGTTCACAGAATTACTATCCAAATTGACAATTTTATTATGGAAGCTTTTGGTGCAACCATGAAATTTAATTTCAAGAGGGCTGAAAGGACCCCGCAATGAGGACCCTATGTAGTTTTCAGCTATATCTAGCTCCCCAAGGTCGACCGTAGCTTCAACAAACATTTTCATATTTTCATATTCCTGATTAATACAAGAGAAATTATGTACAGTGTGACCCGTTTTGGTTGAGGGTGCCGGGTATCAGCTAAATGTGATAAATAGTGAAAAAAATAGTATAACCATTTCATGCTCCTTTTTTGAGCAAATTCTGGTTGGTTCTATTTTCGGTATGTAAAGGGATTAATGGGCTAATTTTTTTTAGCCTTTTTAAAAAATTCTCTACATCTGTCACTGTAATACAAGACTCAAGATCATATAAACAGTGGCAATTTAAATGGGAAAAAAGTGATTTTAAACCAAAAGGCTTGTACCCTGCAATCCCTGTCCCAAACAATTGAAGAATTGGATCTTACTTCCGTGGGTTCTGCATAGCCTTTTTCTATCAAAAAATCATTTACAGATTTGGCATTCCGGCCACGAGGCTTTTTTATGTACACCTCCAAGTAAACTACATCTTCAACAACTGAATGGATCTGAAATTATAAAATTTTTAAGTTATGGAACAGAAAGTAAGAAAAACTGTGTCCATCTTTGGACACACAACTAAAGGGTATCCCAAAAGTAACGAAGGATTTGATTTGTTCAACAACTAGAAGAAAAAGAGAAGTTATTCCGATCCTACTAACCTTCCCATATAATAGAACACCATTAATCTGTCTTTTACAAATATTGCTGATCCTTTCGGACCAAATTCCAGCCGGGTTACATTTCGGAGATGGTCGGATGCCCTGAAGTATGCATTCCATGGATAATGGAGGCAGGTTGCATTCAAATATGTGAGGAAGGTAGTAAATTTCTTGTAGCGTAACTTGCTGCGTGTTACCGTAGTCTATGAAAATTACCTAAAAACGGAACATGCCAAGCAAAGTTTAGTAAAGTCACGATTAGTTTGTACAGTGCCTTCGAAAATCATCCCCCTGACAAGATTTGTTTTGGCACTCAGTAAATTTGATTTTCTTAAGTTGGTGTTTCAGAAATTACCAAGGAAAAAGCACCAATTAAGATCAAAGAGTAAACGTCAATCCAAAAATGTTCGGTTACGTTTCATTTCTTACATTTTTATTTCTTGTAGATTTGAGTTAAAATACTGTAAATTTTTTAATATTAGGTACTACTTCTTTAAAATATATTTTATTATCAACACGTAAAATCTTGCAGTTGTTGTATCAGTTGGGACTTGTCACAAGGCGTTAATGAAGCAGCTGCATATGCATCCCTATATAGTTTCTGTCGAGCAAGAGTTACATCCTCTTTATAGCAACCAACGAGTAAGATATTGTCGATGGTTTAATGAAGGCATTTTATCTGGCTATGTAAATAGAATTATAGAAATTGGTCTGCAGAAAATCCGCATCATCCTATCAAAACATCGTTACATCCTCAGAAAATAGGTATCTGGATAGCAGTTTCCGGAAGACTGATAATAGGCCCAATTTTTTTCCAGCAGTAATAAATGGAGAACAATACAGTAACATTTTACAACAAGCCCTGGAATTAATGCGCGACAATGAACTGCAGCATGGGCATTTTCAAAGAGATGGAGCCACAGCACATACTGCAGCAGAAAATATATCTTCAGGAATTTTAGGTGATAGATTGATTACTAGGGGTTTGTGGCCTGCTCAAAGCCCTGATCTCACACCTTTAGATTTTTATCTTTTTGGCTATATCCAAAATAAGATATTTAAACATCCTCTTTACACACTTGAAGAGCTGGAAGCAGCAATTGAGCATGAAATAAACATTACAACATCAAATGAACTTGAATGTGTTTTTGATTGCATGAAATGCAGAGTAAATTTATGTGTGAAAAACGAAGGTGTCATTTTGAACATCTATATTACCAATTTTTGTATGCTGATTACAAATATGACCTCCATTTTGCTGTAAATTGAGCCGTTTCAGAAATACAGAGGAAAAAAGAACAAGCGCACTATAAGAGAAGGAATGATATACAAGGCAGGTCCAGAAGCCATTCGTGGCTACAGTTGTCAATGTAAGAACGGTCTTGGGACGGTAGGATGTGCGTACGTCGTGTTAGTTTTTGGTATTTAGGGCAAAGACCATACAAAGAAACAATAAGGCTACCCACTGAAGATTTACCTCTAATGCCAGTTTTGCAAGAGTATTCTGATGAATATATCTAATAAAAAAATATGAGGTATCCATTAGAGGTAACCATTTATAACAAAAATACTTTCAAATATTTGAAAAATTCACGATGAGTAGAGTCAAACTGAGGTCAGATTCGGTTTTGCGGATCAAGATACGTGGAAATACCATGGTTTGGTCTGTTGCGCATGACTTTATTCATTTGAAGGTCAGTGTACTTTGTCAACTTCAGCAGCTTTGAAATCCAATATCTTAGAAAGTGCTTAATTTTGGGGGTTATGGCCCAAAGTTTCCTCTAAGCTGCGCAGGTAATTATTATTCGAAAGTTGCACAACCGTTCTTGTATTCTGCGCACAATGGGCTTGTTTTTTAAATTTCATTTTATAAAAGAATTGCATCTAAAAATGACAAAAATCCAAATTTCACAAATGCTTTAAAATGTAATTTTCAAGAGTATTTATTAAAAAAATTGTTGACTTCAAACACAGGCACATGACCCCCCCCCCCAACGCACACTTTTACACACGTTTTGAACATTTTTACTCATATACAGCGCAGTCAGTGGAAAAATTTGAGGGAACATTGGTTATGGCTATAAATAAAACATTGCACCTTTGTATTTTAACATTATGAAAATAATGTTATGTCTGAGATAAAATTTCAAAATATATCAGGAGTATGGTCATTTTGTAAATTAAAATTTATAAAATGACTTTTTTCTATTGAAAAAAGAAACACATTTTGCAGATTAAAGTTAAATGTTTGTAAAGAAATGTAAATTTGTACTCCACTAGACTATCTTCTGTCTTTGGGGAATTTTGTGTTAATCATTGACTTCAGTGTAAGTTTAGTTGCCTAACAGTCACGGTCACGTAGGGGTCAGTCATTTATGAAGGCACTGTATTTAATACTAGACTAGAATCAAGTTAGCACAGGCATGGGACAAAAGTGACTAAAATATTTCAATGGAGGCTAAAAATAATGAAACTGTAAAATATAGGTACTCACCAGAGCCCAATCGTTTTCGTATGCAATTACCTTGCATCGATAAAACAAGTTATCTTTATTATACCGGGTGGCATAGAACTGGTCTAGATTTAATTCTATGTTTTCGGGTAAGTTTTCTGATGTAGTTATAGGGCACAATTCGTCACCATTTAATATGTCAATGATTACCGACAGGTAACTCATACTTTTCTGAGTATGTGCCCAAAAATGAGCAGCATCGATAAACTAAAAAATAAAAATAAGGTTTCTATATTTTTAACAGAAAAAAGAGCGCAACTCCAAAACGTACTTCAGAAATTTGTAGTGTTATATAGTTTTCGGCAGGTGAAGAACTAGATCTAGATTTGGAATAGCGCTTCCCACCATTGCTTGGCAGCGAAGCTGTAGGTTCTTGAAAAACATTTTTATCTCCTGCCCCGCAAACAACGTCAGCACTAAAATCGGTACAATTAACAAAAACGAAATAAATCTACTCGATAAGTCACATACGATGAGGGCTCGTACATAAAGGATAACTGTCGCTTCCTTAGAGCTTCGTATACCTCGTAAGGTATCTTTCCAGGAACTAACAAACTCATTCTCTGAACACCATCCAAAGTTACAGAAATAACACCTGATTGGTTCTCGAAAGATACAAATTCAGCGAAAACTCTGCTAAAAGCAAAAAAGCAGTAGTTAGAGCAACACAAAATTTTCCAACTAAAAAATTGTTTTAAGAATTTTTGGCCCAGTATCAGGTAGCGCAATAAAATTTATAGCATTACTTTTCAGAAAAAAAAAAACAAGAATTCATTACTGACAAGAAAATAAGTTGTAATAATAATGTCTGAAATTATTTGTTTGTGGTGCAGTTTTTTTTTATGGCGATTGTGCCAGCTGTGAAAAAAATAATAAAATAAACCTTGGCGCATAAAAAGTCAGTCAAGAATTTTATTTATGAAAATAGTTTTGCTTAACCAAAAATCTCGCACTGAAAAAAGCAAATATTTAAAAAAATACAAAAAACGCCATTACACCTACAGGGTGTTCAGCAAGAACTGTGCCATAGTTTAAGGAGGTTTATCGGGTATGTCTAAAGTCAAATGAGAGTTTCCGTAGATTAGCTAGTGACTAAAGTAGTATGTCTTTAGATTTGGCAATGTTGAACTTGGCTGGCGCGCTCGCCTCGGGGTTCAACCATTCCGTTTGTTTGGATGGTAGAAACAGTTTTCGCCATGAACCACAAATCAATAAAGAAATGTTTCTGGAAAGGAAAACGTGTAACTGAAAATGTGTACCATTTAAGAGTTCGCCAAGCAAGTGCATGCAGAAATATACGAAGCGTTTACAGATGCAAGCAATCTGAAGAGAACTCTAGCCTCAAAGAAGTAAAGAATGAATTCAAAATCGAGGGACGAAGAATTGTGCACATTCGAACTTTAGGTAAACAAATGATTTGCAGGCAGTGCAGCCAAACTCCTTCAGCAAAGAAAATTAAAAATATTTATATGCGTTTCATATAGGAATTTGTATTGTAGATTATTTACATTCTAAAGATGTTATATTTACATGAAAAATATACGTCGATATGTGCAAATATGTCAATTATTTATTTCAATAATTTATTCTTCTTGATTTTGTTTTTCTTCTTTTTTCATGTCATTTACAATGCCTAAGCTTCAAATATACATTGTATGTCACACATGCGAATTTCAAATAATACGCTAAGTTGAGAACCGCGGCGTTGCCGCTTTCACACATAGTGGGGGTTAGTTAGTCAATGACAGGAGAATTATTATAAATTATGTATCTTACAAGTACCTAATCGATTTCTACGAGCTGTCATACGGTTCCTTAGATATCAGTTTCCTATTTATACAAGTTGCAGTGGAAACTATTCAATTGTTGCGCATTCTAAGTGGAGAGACCAAATAAATCTGCATTCTCATAAGACTCCGTACTAAACCGTGAAAAATTACTTTATTAATATCTCGTCAATTAAGTATCCAAAGTAGTCATAATTTTTGTTGAGAATTTTCTTCATATTAATAAGCTTATATTAATTTTTTTATGAATATTTGTTTGTCAATTCCATATGAAATAAACCTCCTTAAGGGTAGGTTCGCCAGATGCAAATAAGGTGATTTAAGTCAAGTAGAATTTTGTTTCCTTAAGAAGTTGCAGGCCTAAAAAAATAATTTTTTTCACTATTGCAAAAACCATATTTGCATACTCTAAATTTGAATTGGCATTTTGCAACACTCTTCGTACAAACGTGTAATCAAATGTTGCAAAATAAAATGACACTGACGAATATCCTACTTTTGAACTTGGAACATGACATACTCTGAATTCAAATTTTTAAAATTTATAATTACGCTATAGCTTGAAAATAAATGAAACTTTCATAACATTTCAGTTTTTTTTCTTATTAACTTGATTCTTCAGGTAAAATTATTTTCCAAAAAATAAACCTCAATTGATCTTTTTAGTGCAACGGTTTATGTAATTAATTTTTTCACAGCTGGCAAAATAATCAATAAACAAAATGAAAAAGTGCAGTAACGAATTATATATCTTACAATTTGTCAAAAATATTGCATACCTTACACCATCAGATCCAACAACAACGTTGTCTTTATTAGTATCTTGGCTGCTTAACATCCGTTTGACAGTAGAGTGATACTGTCCTTGCTTTACTCCAGTAAAATACACCGATACAAAAGGATTGCGTTCACCAACCGAACTGATGGCTTTATAGAATTTTTCATGGACATCCTTTGGCTCGTGAATGAAATAATTAGGAAAGAACGCTCCAACAATTATAATCTGCAAGGAAAAAATGGTTATTCGAAGCGAAAAGCCAATCAATCGATTTTTTCTTACTTGTAATACTAGACGCTTTTCCGTCTGACTTAGCAGAATCTTATTGGACCCCGAAGTAGACTTAATATTCCATAAGTTTAACTTTTCCTTTAATTCTGAAATTAAATAGATCCATTTTTTGATTGCCCGCAGGTTTATCAAGTTTTTGCGACACCACTTGTTTTCGGTCTCAAAACAAACATGTTTTGTAGTTCTAATAAAACTCTGCCAGCTCTAAAAAAAAGAACATGATTAATAATGTTTCTTTTGTAAAAACTGACGGCACTAACCTGATATAGATTCAAAAGTGCAATTTGATCACTACAAGAACCGTCGGCCCATGTTAGTATTCTCTTATAGGCATCAAGTTTATGTTCGTAAGTAACAAATAAATTTCGAATAGAAGAACCAGCAGCTAAAAATTTTAAACATATTATTAATAAAAGGAAGATTAAAGTATTTATCTACCTATAATAACGGCCTCTTCGAAACAATCAAACAGATGTCCTAAGAAAATGAGCTTTGTTAGCTTCACATCGATAGGCAACTCATTCATTACTTTTCCCATGAAGGTTAGATCTCCATCTGAAGTAGAGGCAGAACCTCTGCAAGTTTGTAGAAGTGCACCTGCCTAAAATATCGCTTCATTTAGATTTACAATATTAAAATTTTATAGATAAAATACAAGATATGATAAAAATATTGCTATAATAAATTAAGTACCTGTTTCAGTTTGAAAATAGCATTTTTAATATCCGTAGCATTGGGTGAATCTAAAATTGTGGACAAAGTTTCTAAGGGTGGCTCTTCCAAACCCAAAATTTTGGTTCGAAGTACAGCTTTTTCCATTAAATTAGTTCCCATCATTTTCTCCTAGAACAAAATTTGTTTTTTTAGTTTAAGCACAAATTTCCACGCTTATTTCTACAAACAGCACAATGTAACTTTCAAATTTACGTGATAAGGGTTCAGTATCAACTCAACAATAAATCAAATCTTACCATCCTGAATTTTTCCATTGGAGTTCCTGATATTTGATTAATTAAATAAATAAAAAGTATATTTCAGAACTAGGTCTGCAAAAATTCATTAAACGACGATTTCAGCACTTGACACTGTCTCTTGACTTGACAATTATGTCATCTCGTGTTAATACAGGGTGCGTTCCTGTAATTAATTATTGAACTAATAACAAATTAAGAGGAGATTACGAAAATTAACTCCTAAGTGATCTACACATTTATTATCTCATTCTCTCCCTCTAAAACCATAAGAATAACAAGGATAAAAATAGTATTTTCAAATTCTTAAATAAAAATTAATCCTGAAGAAGGAAGTATCTTCTTCAGATGCTGGAAAAAGAAACAACCGATTCAGAATAGATCATCTCAAATCATTTATCAGACTTATTGATCGAACAATATTTTAGGGAGGGTTTTTGTAAATTTAAGTTTTCAGCCGCGAAATTCGCTATTTTATGGGTTGAAATATGAAATTATTTCAAGATTATTCGCGAAGGGAAATCTTAACTTTAGAGACAGAAGCAGTTTCATTTTCAATGGATGCATAATTAATTACAATTAGAAAAGTATGAGAATATACTATATTATTGTTATTCCAAATGTTTACATTGTTTGCTCCTGGAGCAAATATATACTTTACGAAAGTCTTTTTTGTGTAAGAACGATAATTTTAGATATTTAAATAACATTTAATACAAGTATATATCTTTCGAATTACCAGCAAATTTTGTCGCAAAAAGTAATATAAAATTTAATTTTCTAGCTATGTCGTGAAAGCAATGAAAAAGATTTCCCGTTCTGTGAGTATGACAAAAAACATGGAATGTGGGAAAAAGCTAAATTCGTTAAAAAACAGCGAATTTCGCGATTGTGAAAAGTCTCCTTTAAGAATAAACAAAATAGAAAGTCACGTTCATTTCTCGTAGGTACTGTAACTTGTACTGTACAGTACAGTACTTACTGTACTGTAACTGCACCAACTAACTAAAACTGATTTTCTTTTTTTTTACTAATTTCATTTCAGTTAATGTTCAGTTTTAGAGATATAAATATCATTTTTCTTATAATCTAAAAGAAAAATATGTTGATCTGCTACAATGAGAAAATGATGTAAGAACTTGACATTTTTTAATTTTTATTTTAAGTTACTACTAAATACTAGTATACTATTAACGGTTACGAATCAAATTGACGCTATTCTTTTTAGGTATTTGTTCTGTGGATAGTGCAACTTTCTTATTATTTTAGATCGAGGTGTACTATATTAATGCCTAACACCCTAACGAGAACGAGTACATAGCTATTTTACGTCAACGCCTTCTCGGATTAACAAACCAATGAAGTCAGAGTAAGAAGTATGAAGCGTTCTGCAGCCCACCGATCACTATCAACATCAACTTTCATAGGCGCCACTAAGGAGGGAATGGCGGTAAACCCTTCCTTCCTTTTCGAAGCACTCCGAGTTTTAGAACTTCAAATCGCCCAACTGTATAATAATTTGTGATAACACTAAAATTAACTGAGTTATTAACAATATCACTTAAAAACTTTATAAGGAAGTAGTCATACAATATTAATACTAATTTATACTTAAAATTAATACAGGACGTTATTTTTACAAAGTCTGCTTTTATTGCAGCACTATAGAACCTAGACTAATGTTTTAGAAAGTATTTATACGTTAAGGGACATCTATTATCTATAATCTGTTCGTTAAATTAAGTATATATTTCTATTTATCCATCTATTATTAATTTTCTTACAACATGCAAGGCGTGTA